GTGAATGACCTTACTGGACTCTCAAAATGCCCTGTCTCCTCCCAGTAACAGAAATAGGCTAAAGTCCTATCACCCTGACTGGTAATTAGCATTGAGTCTACATATTTGAATTTCATGATATCACTTTAGAATAATACCACAACCATATTTATAGTTCGAACTTCTGCCACCACTGTTCTTGGTTCTTATTTTCATACTTCCCCATCATAAAGGTAATGGAATTTTTTCCTCTGGAAACATAAACACAAAATAAGCCCTTCCTTCTGTAGATTGCCTTGGTCAAAGTGTTTTATCACAAAAGTTGAAAAACAACAAAAGCAGACAGAAATTTCAAACTCCGGAAAGTGTGTGTTCAAAATGTTAAGATTTAAAAGTTCTCGGTAGGCTGGGCGGTGGTGGCACACGCCTTTAATCCCAGCACTCAGGAGGCAGAAGCAGGGGCATCTCTGCGAGTTCAAGGCCAGCCTGGTCTGGTCTACAAAGTCAGTTCCAGGAAAGGCACAAAGCTACACAGAGAAACCCTGTCTTGAAAAATCCAAAAGTTCTTGGTGTGGTAAGTTGTTGTTTATGAAGAAGGTATCTAACCTAATATAATAAATAGTTATTTGAAAAAAAGAATTATACTGGATGACCACACACCCGAGAATATATAGGCAACACTAATTGACCTTGATATGCTAAAAAATGAAGACCGCAAGTTGATTGGGTAGGAAATTGGGAGTAGATCTGGGAGGATTGGGAAAAGGGAATGAATATGAACAAAATGTAATATAACAATGTATGAAATTCTCAAATAATAAACATATTTTATTGCATTCTTTAAAAACATCTTTTTAAATTTTTGACATTATAATATAATTACAAGTTTTCTTCTTACCCTTTCCTCCCTCAACCCCACCTTCGTGTATCCCTCTTTCTTTCCAATTCATGGTCTCTTTTTTTAATAATTGCATGCATATATGTATATGTATACCCATACATTTTACTAAATCTAATATGTTCGGCCCGTATACTGTTACTTTCATATATTTTTTCAGAAAGGATCATTTGGTATTGAATAACCACTTAAGGAATTGAAACATTAATATGTATGAGTTATACATGAATCTGTTGGAATATTCAACTTTTCAAAATTATTGACTACTTATATATCCTATACATAATAATACTAGAAATATCAAAAAGAAATTTATTATAATAAAAGTCAAAAAAATTCTATCAAGTAAAACCATGTATCTCAAAGTTATTTCTTTAAAGGCTATAATGTTCATTGCTTAAAATAGTAGTATTCAGTAGTTCTGAAGTCAAAAATGAGCTTAAAAGTTAAGTTTCTCATCACCTATCGATGGGAGAATTAATAACCTATAACAACTTACACTTAACGCAATTTTGCACCAAAACTTTTGATGACGAACTCTGAGAAGAGACCCTCAGAGCATGTTGTAGCTACTAAGGCCTAGAAGGTCCGACACACTGAGATCTGTGAAATCTTCAGAAAACATGGAAGTCTTTCTGGTGTCTGCTGGGATACAGAGCAGAAGTACACAGCACTCCTCGGGGAGAGCTGGAGAGGAGCCATGTGGGAGGGAAGACAATGTGCTTCAGAGTTGAGCTGAGCCGAATGTTCTGGTCAGAGAAAGGTCAGTCTTGACAAGAGCAGGGACGGCATGCTGTGCCAAACTCAGATGCCAAGCCACAGAGCCACTCCAACTGGTGGATTCCATTTGCTCTCAATTATGAGCCTACCACAGGGTCTTTTGTTTCATGTCAATAAGAATGGCAATCAAAATAAGCTCTAACAGGTGCAAAAGCTTATTTTGCCCTGGGTTAAAAGTACCTTTACCAAGATATGGCTTGCCAGGCTAGGTTGGCTGCAAGTAGGTAGCTTTTTGTTTTCATGTGGGTGACAGATTCTTAGCAGAGATGTATCAGCAAAGTTAGTCACTGCTGTTACTGCAGCATAATATTTTTATTTCAAAGTGATTATTAAACCAGTTACTGACTGCTGCATTGCTGGGTCTAAAGTCATTTCAGCACTTGGCATTTGAGCACACTCTTACCGAAGTTTGAAGTTTCAGTCCAAACGGCTTTGGTGGCTTTCTGCCATTTTGAACAGCTCCCTAGGGCCTCTGGGTCCAGCTGTTTCAGTAAGCTGAATTGTGGAGTTAATTCTGAAGGGGGATAATGAAATTCCAGTATGTACCACTGTGTCAGTAAATCAAAAATTTTGATTGAAGGAACCAGCTTTTTCCCCTGGGTAACAAGAATGAGGAGTTAATATGCTAATTTGAGTCTGAATCCAGCCCCTTTGCTCTTCTGATTTTGTATTAATTCTCCCGTTTATGCCTGTGCACATGTCAATCTGAAAATCTGCTAGTGGAATGGACAGCCAGCTGTCTGAGGTGCAGAGGCAGAGCCACAGATTAGGTGTTCCCTCGGGGGTCTTTTTAGTCAGGGCTCTGAATGCACAGCTTATCTCTCATAAACTTGGTTCCCCCTAGAGAAACTTTAAAAGAGGCTTTGTTTTTTGCCAAGAATTTCCTTTTTGGATGTCAGCTTAATTAGCAATGATCCAAAGAAAGAAAAATGAGTTCTTTGTGGTCTGTGTAAGTCCTGATTTCCTACTCTTATTTTGTTAGGTTTTTTTTTTTTTTTTTAATTGAAACTAGTTTCTCAGAAGCACCTAAAATAACCATTAAGTGTGAAGGGGAAAAAATTGCAGTTCCTGGATGTTCTGAGGTGGGTTCTACCTTCCTGTTTCTAGGTTATATTTAAGAAATTTTAATAAGCTACGAAAGTTTTCAGAGATAGAAAGCAAAAAGGATATTAGCTATGCTTATAAAATATTGGAATTTCATATATTCCAAAATATTATTAACAGTGTACTGTATGACAGATACTGGTATTAACATGGTCTATAAAGGTGTAATGTACGCTTCCCTAAAAAGTCACATATAAACAATAGCAACATTATTACTTATTAATATATATTAACAGATGGTGTAATTGCTCTCCAAAGTAAGCATAGATAGGATAGAAATTTACAGAGGAAACACTTGAACAGAGCCTGAAGAGTCTTTCATGGGACAGGGGATGGAAAATGAGGACATATGTTTTTGGGATTTCAAGATGGAAGACTATTTGTGGAATTATTAAGGCCACTCCATGTAGTTAAAAGGGAGGTGTATTTAGTGGAATAACTTACAAATGAAGGGATAGGTAGGTTGCAGGGTCTAGGAAAGGCATGGCGTAGTCCGGTGATGTTCTCTGGGGAACTCGGCTCTGTCTACCTCCAGTGTCCAGGGTCCAGGAACCAAGAGACAAGGCACATCCGGATCTCGGGTCTTCAGGGTCCTCTCTTGGACCCGCCTTGTAGGCGTGACCATTACCAAAGCCTCTGGGGGTTGGAACTTCCAGATCAAGGTTGGAATGGCTACCCACTACAGAAGACACAAACAAGCAGAGAGAAAAATGCCACATTGGTGCCCTGTAACACTACAAAAATCTCTGTTAAGACTGAGTGTAAAGGTTAAGGTAAAATTCCTAACAGATGAGATTGGATTGTAATCAAATGTCAAATCACTTGAACAACGAAACATTGTAAAATATCTGATAGTTTCTACTTGTGACAGATACCATGCTAAGCAATGGGTGGGACACTAAGATTAGTTATCCACTCATGCTTTGTTAAATGAAAGTTTCACTGCCTCAAACAAAATACTGTGGTATTAAAAGGTGCAATATGTGCAATATTGTCATGCCCACAGCAGACATGCTGGTCAGACATTCTGAAATGGTCTTCTTCCTTTCTGTCCTCACAGTCTCTGCCTAGGCTAATTTCCTCGAAGTTTTTTTTTTTTTTTTTTTTTCCCCACATCCTTCAATGTCACATCTACCATGGGGCCTTCTCCAAATATGTAGATGAGATTAGGTCCCCATTATCCACACTGACATGTCATCCTGCTTAGTTTCTCTGCAGCAATTACATTAAATGCAATTAACTACCTCTGCAATTATTTGTTTAGCATTCATCATCCATTAGCGTGTTGACATCCCATTGAAAGGGAAGGTATTTGTCTTACCAAAGATAATCTTCAGCTCTTGACAAATGTTCTCTGTACATTCCTGTGTAAATACATGATATGTAGAGTAGAAAAAAAGATGGGTAAGAGAACCATTAAAAATCTGAGGTTGAAATAGCTTAAAGAATGAATAAAATTAGGAAATAGAAAAGAGAGAATGATGTCTGGTTTGATTTCTATATTTCTATCTTGCTAATTAATAAGCACTATGATTAAATAATAAGGTAAGGTTAGAATCCTCCTGGAATAAATAACTGGATCACAGTTCACTAAATTAAGTTTGTTTCCTTTAGGAAGATGTAATATCATTCCAGTCTCATTTTTATTATTTTAAAAACATTTAATGTGGACTCTTTCTGTAATGTATTAACAAATGCAGTTTATAGTCATTGTTCTATGCTTTAGGTTCAGGAGACTATACACTTTCATTTCTTTCTTGATATTTCTGATATTCATCCACTATCAAAGCTGGACTTCATATATGTGTGTGTGTGTGTATGTGTGTGTGTGTGTGTGTGTGTGTGTGTGTGTGTGTGTGTGTGTGTGAGAGAGAGAGAGAGAGAGAGAGAGAGACAGAGAGACAGAGAGACAGAGAGACAGAGAGACATTAAAATTTATTACGTTAAAGAGAGAGGCGGAGAGACATTAAAATTTATTATGTTAAAGATTGAAAAACTTAGAGACATTCTTATTTTTGCTGTCCGATCTAATTTAGTACTGCTTATGATTGGATGCAAAATAAAAGTAGGGATGAAAACAGCAAATCTATAATTATTCTGAAGTTTAATTTAAGTATATAAACCTTTATGGCAGCTAAAAGGTGATTTCTACAAGTACTTTATAAGCTAAACTGTCACGCAACTATCTCATAACTTATTCCCTTGATTTAAGTTAAAGGTATTATCTGCCTCTTTCCAGTTTCACAAAGAGAAAAGGAAAAAGGAAAAGAAAAAATCAAAGAAGGAGAAAAACCCGAGAAGAAAGGTATGTAGTTATTCTTTGTACCACTCTAATATTAAAGATTTTTTTGTTGGCACTTCTCTTTGTAACATTTGGACTTTAGAGAATGTTGATTTCTTCTTCTAAATTTCATATTATGTTTATTTTCATGGACTAGAACTCCCAAAGAGGAGTTTCTGGACTACACCACATTGGGCTCTTCTTACCATGTTTGTCCTTGGAAATATGTCAGTCTTTCCTTGGATGGTTGTGCGCTTGTTAGAAAATATTATCTGAGAAAATACTGGTCAGTTCTATAGGGAAAAAGCCATTTTTGTAATTTTAATATAATTCAATTGCCTAATATATTACTGTATTTCTTTGTTATTGTTATTTATTGAGAAAGGATAGGTAAGCCAACTTCACTGTTTGAATCATGAAGGTGCACCGTGAAAACTTTCCCCACACTGCTCTAACCTCGCATTTCCCATTGCATCTCGCCCCATGTGTTGACATAGCCACTTGTGTGAGGTTTTGCGAAGCTCTCTAGAGTTTCATTAACAAAATGTATATAACATTTATATAATTAATATATGATGAATTTATATGTATATATGATGCTTTACTATCCATATTAGTGGTTTGTGTTATTTGTCCTTATTTTATACAAAATCTAGCATGTCTTATATTCTGACATTCTTAAGTCAAAAATTCATCCTAGAAAATTTTCCATATCTGCGTATATTTTTTCATTGTTTTTACAAACCTTCATAGTATTTGCAAAAGGCTATCTTATGTCATATACCTTAACTTATTGTTATTTGTAGAGTCAACCGTACTATGATTTTAGTGTTATAGATTTCTTCCTGTGTGACTGTTCACATCTCTTGCCCATTCATCCCCTGGTGTGTGTGTGTTTATTCATTTTCCTATAGTATATATTTTATTATATATAGTATATATTATTAGTATATATTTTTCTATAGTCCTGTAGAATTAGGACATTCATTTGAGATTTATTCTATAGTAATAGCTTTAAGTTTTGTTTTGTTTTTTAAAAAAAAAAACGTTCCTTGGTTTATATTTTTCTTTGATCGACTCCAGTCTGCTTCATCGTTTTGTGTGAAGCAAGATTGTGGTTTGACGTTTGCTATTGTTTGACTGCATCGCATTTGCCCCCACAATATCAGAGCCAGCTGACTTTTCGGGGTTGTGAAACACTGCAGCTTAGATAGAATATGTAGAATAGACGTGATGTTTATGAACCAGAGCAGAAGAAACATGCTCCAATATTACTTATTACATAGTCACACTTCAATATTAGAGTTAAATAGTTGCTCTTTTTTTTTTTTGGTTTTTCGAGACAGGGTTTCTCTGTGTAGCTTTGCGCCTTTCCTGGAACTCACTTGGTAGCCCAGGCTGGCCTCGAACTCACAGAGATCCGCCTGGCTCTGCCTCCCAAGTGCTGGGATTAAAGGCGTGCGCCACCACCGCCCGGCAATAGTTGCTCTTTTATTAATATTTACTTAGTGGTAAAATCTTGAATTTTAAAGCTCCTCCTATCTTCTTTGTCTGTCTCAGACATCTCTGTTCATTTCTCATCTGCTGGTGAGATACCACATTCTGAACATAGGGTTCTATATCCTGACAAAATCAAATAATTTTGTGGTTCTTATTAATTTTCAAGATTCAATATTGCTAAATGTTTTCTTTAAATAACTAAAAATTTTCCCTTAAATTATAAATGTAGAAAGTTCACTCAAATTGAAAAATCAGAAATAAAGTGCTTTCTGAGTTTCCTATATGCCAGTTAAAGATGTTTATGCTTTAGGATACTATATGGAAATGTTGGCAACTTCCAAAATGGGCTGTTTATTTGAACTGTAAGACTATGATGCACATGCTATTAGACCTTTCAGATTATATTAACCTCAGCAGGGAGACCTTAGGATTTCTTGGTGAATACAGAACACAGACATGTTAAATAAATTAACTAAACAAAAAAGGGAAAGATATACTTCAGGTATCATGTAGTATATTGTTAAATTAAAATCCTTATTATTTTAATAATCATTTTAAATTATCTTATACAGTGATGTTGATTCTCAGAGAAAGGTGTTACCCATTAGGGAAATGTTTTGCTTATGAAATGACGTTGACGTCCAGCAATTGGTAAGCAGGCACTTAAAAGGCTCATCATCTTTGCAATGTCTAAAGGAGGCCCTTAGGTGGGAGAGTTGCTTTTTCTCAAATGCCAATTGTGTTCCTGTTGAGGAACACTTGGTTAATCAGTCTTCAGTCAGGATAATATCATTTCTTGCTATTAATGCTAAAAAGAATTATTTTTACACTGTGTGCTTTATATTTGTTATAAAATTGTTCCTTTTTGGATTTATTTCCTGATAACATTATATATTTGGAGTAGAAATCTATGAAATAAAGGTGACAGATCTAGCTTTCACCAAAACTATTTGTTTGTTTTGGCCACAGTCTCACTATTTAGCCCTGACTTCTGGAACTAGCCTTGCACCCACAGACATCTGCCTGCCTTTGCCTCCCTAGTACTTATTAAAAGTATTTGCCACCACAACCAGCTACTTTCTAATTCTTAACGTCAAATTTTATAATGCACTCTATGCTATGATTGCCCACTGATTACAATATTCCTAAGATGAGTCCCTCAGTGTCAAAAATCCCCAGGTATTCTATGATTTGGGTGCCTATAAAACTGTAGCTAGAAGAAAATTGGATTTGAAATGTATTAAAAGTATACGGGATTTGTAATTACATGATGTTAATTTTCTGTTTAAGCAACCCACAAGGAGAAACTTGAGAAAAAAGAAAAAGGAGAGACAAAGACAACGGCAAAAGGTAACATTTACCTTGGTTATTTTCATTCTAGAAGTCCCTTGACGACGAGAGTGTATATTTTGGCTGAAACTTGAATGTTTGCAGTCATTTTCCATTTCAGTGAAATACAATGATTTAAAATTGGATACCTAAAGAAGAATAAAACCAAATACAATAACAACAAAAATCTCAAAACATGAAAGGAAAACTAAATGTCCTCACATGTGATTGGCAGAATTTTGTCCTCTATGACCTTCATCCCATGGTGTCATCCCCATGACACTTTTGCAGGGGTAGTCACGTTTGAACTAAAAATAGGGCAATGACCCCAGTGTAACCACCTGTGTGGTGGTATTCTAATTGTACTGAAATGTGATTTTGATTGTATGTTAATAAATAAAGTTGCCCGGGGGTCAGAGCTATTAGAGCCATAGACAGAGTGTGGCGGTGGTGGCACACACCTTTAATCCCATAGATCTCTGTGTGTTCAGGGATACAGTCAGCATTGGAGACATATGCCTTTAAGACCTAGGGGGCTGTACATTCAGACAGTGACGAGGCAGTCACGTGTTTGGGTTTACAACCAATGAGAAGGCAGAACAACATACTATAAAAGAAACGAACAGACAGGAAGTAGCTCTCTTTCGGGAAGCTGGGACACCGCAGGCGGAAGGGTGAGATTTTAGCTCTGAGCTCTGACCTCTCGGCTTTCTCTTTTACATTGTTTCTGTGTTTCTTATTTAATAAGACGGTTGGATACATCTACACACCTGCACCCAACAACCAGCTCCAGTGTATTTAAAAGCAGAGAAGTTTCACAGAAAGCAAAGCAAGTTTTAAAGTGTGTCGTTTTAGCCTCCTTGGCTACCATGAAAATTATGGGGGATACAGGGAGACCCTGAACAACAACAACAGGAAGCAAATTTGGTATTCATGTTGAATAAGCATGTTTTCCTACAGGAACTCCACTAAAGAGCACAGTAGACTGGTGGCTTCATTTTGGTCTTGTGAACCCTGTGATGAAACCAGCATTTGCATGCAAGAAGCACTGTGATAATGTACTTCAAGTCCATGAAAACATTACTTCCATATTTGGGAAAATTAATTGAACTGTATTTTTTTCTGCCCTAAGTTGGCCTACCCAATGTTTTAAAAAATTCACATTTTAACTAATAGAGCAATTATGTCTCCTCAATGTAAATGTTTTCCTCATATTTTAAAATGTGTTTGATATAAATAATATACTGGAGCAATCTTATTCCAGCATCATCAAGAAACTAGTTATGTATGGAAAATAATGTATCTCTATCAAATTAATAACTATTTATATCACATAAGAACAACTGAATTTTTAGAATAGATTCTGAAGCCAAAATTTGTGATAATTTATTGTTCTTTCAACAGGATACAGAAATATCTGGTCCCACATTTTTTATAAATATAAGTCTTTGCATTTCGTTTCCTGGTGCTGGGATTATGAGCTTGTGTCAAAATATTTAGCTTTTTATATGGATGAGGGGATTGATTTCAAGACCTCATGCTTACACTTTACCAACTAAGCAATCTCCACAACCCCTCAAATTCTATAGTAATGTTAAAGTGTATTCACTAAATATAAAGGTGAAGTTTGAGCATCCAGAAGCCAAATGCAAAGTATCATATTTGTAAAAAAAAAAATGTGAGAAAATGTGTGTTTCCTATTGATAGAACAAAAAATTAACACAAACTCAGGACAGAAATAATGACCTTAGGTTAACTAATATGGGGTTTTAATACAATTACTTCCTAACTCTTTGTCTCACACATTACATAGTTCACGTTTGACTCATCTGGTTCATTGACTTTTTGTCAGTCTTCTGTTCTTTGTCACAAATTCACACTGACATGATAGTTGGCTTTCCTAAACCTAGCAACAGAGAAAATCGAGACAGAAATCATGATCTTACATTGACTAATATGGAATTTTAATCCAATTATTTTTGCCCTAAAGTATTGCTTCGCATATTACAAGACTAGTCAACACTTACTGAGAAAATAATGTAGGGGTTGTTGGAAGCCATCTTCAGCCTGCCACTCTGGATGCTTCCCATTTACATATGTAATTTTGATAAGTAGATGTAAACAATTTATATCCATTTTACACATGTATAATATCCTCACATGTGTATTTTTGTTTTATTTACTCTATGTGTATAAGTTACACTAGGGCCAGAAATTGCATAATGATCTTTATACGATATGTGGGAAGTATGGTATTTTCTAGGAAAATAGAAGGCTAAAAAGGCATAAACTAAACAAGTGACATTTGAGTTAGAAATAAGTGACCCCTCTAGAATGATGTGAAAGGTGCTGAAGCTAATGACTTCTGGCACTTTCTTAGAACACTGTTTTTTATTTTTTGTTGTTGTTATTGTTCTATTTAAACTAAAATCTATTGAGGACAGTAATTTTCCAGACCGTCCTAGAAATTCTTCCTGAAAGAATATGCACAATTCCTTGTCTACCTGTGACTAGTGCATACAGTAGGCCTCCTATGCACAGTGCCTATTTTTTGTAGTTCACAAAATCAACAGAGAGGAAAGAAGAGAAGGTGGGATAAGAAGTCAAGAGGAGTGAGCCAAAGTCAGGCCGGGTTCTCACTCTTCACCCTCCACTTTTCTCTAATGGGAGACAAATTTACTTGTTTTAAGGAGTTGACAACAGAGAGTGGAAGTTTTCATTTTTATACAAAAAGTTATTGTCATGCTTCTGTTGAATGTGTGGTCTTGTCTCCAAGAACTTACTTTACCAGTTAAAAAATCCAATGGTATTAAAATATATCTGAATTTCACCAATTTTTAACTCCCCAGTATGAGGATAGAGGTAAAATCAATTGTGCTCTGCAAGGCACAGGCAGATGGCATTTAAGATAGCTAAAATAACATTTTTCACACAAAAGCATAAACAAATAAGCAAGAAGGCTAGTAAAGTCTCAAGGTACAAATATGTTTATTCTAAACTTTTTATGTATATGTGAAGCATACATATCACTATATCATATCCATGACACACATATAGTAAAGCATTTATTCCTTGAGTTACACTTTCTAGTTTACAATACATTAATTCTGTTTTTCTCTGAAAATAAGCATTTTATTAGATACAAGTTAATAGAAAGCTAAATATTGAGTTCCCGAACTCAAGTTGTTCCCAGCCTGGCAGGGGAAACAGATTAGTGAACAATCCTGTACAATTCCAAATATACAATAGGGAATAAAGTTCACATCTTCCTTAATAAAAGTGCCAGCAAATTGAAGCTAAAAGGATAGGATGATTAATTCCAGCGACAGCAGCTTTTTGTATAAGAATAGAGTCTTACGGGATTCAAATATATAGAAATGGTACTTTGACAAAGTCTGATGGATAAAATTATATGACATTAAAAAAATGAGCATAGCTGTCCAGGAAGAAACTTGAAGCAGAATGATCCAGTTATCACAATGTCTTAAATGCTGGGCTAGAATCTCTAGAGATGATGACAATGTGATGATCTTTTAACTCTGTCAGGTAGCAATGAGACATGTCCCATCGAGGTTCTCTGGAAGGGCAATGTAGTTGTGCAAGTCAAGTTGTATATGAATTTGTTGTATAAAAGAAAGGAACAGAGGATATTGCTTGTAACATTTGAAAGAGAGGAAAATTTCCACCATGTAGTCAAAAAGTCACATGTTTATGAAAAGAGGAATATATGAGAATTTTATGGCAATAATGTTCAGTAATTTGGTTACCATAATGTCCATCCATGTACAGTCTCAATGCGATTCACCTTGGAGGCATACAAGGGTAAAGAAACTATTATAACTTCCTGCTTTTCAACTTCTTTCATTCTGATATCTAAGGCAGCATCACCTCTCAGGAGTGTCTACAAAATAGTGTATCCAATGCTGGTCTCATTGATTGAATATTTTATCACAGATGATTTTGATTTTGTAAATAGACTTTTTTAAAAAAAGTATATTATTATTCTTTGCAAGGGAAATGCATAGGTTTCATTTGCATCAAAGCAAAATGTATGGAGTGCATTATTTTCATCAAATTCTTTAACATGTGTATCAAGAATACCTCTACAATGCATTGAAAATGACCAGCTAGATTCCCTTCATTGTACGCCAATAATTGTATATGGTCCCATATGCAAAATAAGTCAAATATACAATACCCATTACAACTAATATTCATAAATGAAGTATATTTTCAATGATTTAAAAAATAATGATTGAGTCACAGAATGATTAATCTGTAAGCCAGTTCCCTCTCAAAAAAATACATATATTACCAAGTTAATGTGTATTGAATAGATATGTACATTGATATATATTTTGCTTATTAGCACCCTTTCTGAGGACATTTTTAAGGTTTACAAAGCATTAGAAATGTCATCTCTGGCTTAGGTTAGTAGGAATGCATATCTGTTTCTATATTATAGGCTTTGCAATCCCAGTCTTCAGGGATGTCTACCTCTCAGTTATTCTCTAGAAGGTTTCATTATCCTAGCTTTGTTAATCAGCACCATGCAGGTAATTTTTCATTTGTATCCCTTGCATTTATCTTCTGAAAAATTATTGTATCAGAATTACTTTTTTGAGTAATGCTTACTATTTTTCAGTTATGGAGCAAAGTGATCACATTCTTTTAAAAGGAAATTCTTCAATTGGCTTCTTTACTGTGAACATTTTTCTTACTGAAGATGCTCACAGGTACAGCCTCTGCATGTGACAAATGACTCATTGTGGACAGCTTAAGGTTTTGATTAAAAAATAAATTGCAAACAAACAAACAATAAAAGTGGAAACAAAAATCCAAATAAGTCTTCTCAGGTGTAAATTCAGAAAGAGATGCATCTTGCCGATGACTTGTATGTCTAATACAATGTATTCATAGATTTTATAATACTCTGGCAACTGTCAACATTATTTACACCAGGGACACTCGTTTTCTATTGATTTTCTTGTTTATCTTTTAAAATGGTACTTGAGGAATAATGATTGTTGAAGAACTATGTGAGCAAATGAAAAAAAAAATAACCTTAACTCTTTGCAGAAGAGAAGAAAGTTAAGACTAAGGAAAAGACTGAAGACAAGACCAAGAAGGAAATGAAAGTCGGGAAAAAGGAGAAAGGGAAGCCAGCAGCTGCAAAAGTAAAAGAAACTCCTCCAAAAACCCCACCAAAAGCCAGAGAGAGGGATGACAAAGAGATCACAGCTGTGCCTGAGCATGAACAGAAAGGTAAACATTCCGAGGAGGAGGCAGCAGCCGGAGGTTCTAAGAGAATCTTAGGCAAGAAGCAGATGCAGTCAAATTAAAAGCTGAAAAGGAATAAAATTAAACCTCAAATGGGGTAAAAAGACACATCCAAGCTGATATGCCTGGGAGGAAATACAGTAAATTGGGTATTAACATACTAATAAATATACTAAAATGTGTTCAAATCGCTAGGTATATTTTCAAGTATTTTAAGGGGTGTTGAGTGAGCACCTGGAGTTATTTAAATGTGGGGCTGAGTGCTGAAATTTTGAGGATTTCAATCAGGAGTTGGAATAACAATTGAACAATTGTATGTGTCAGACTCTGGAGAAAGGTGGTTTTAAAAATTAACAGCCACCCTCAAGGAGTTGCTCAAGAAGCCAATGTACAAATCATATAGAAAAAAAAATCACGAAAACTTTACATCCTTGATATTGCTGCAATGATAGCATTCAGAATATGCACATTAAATTACCAGTTCATTTAATTGTTGCAGGAAACCTGTTGTAAGAAAAGAAGTGTCAGGGTGCTTTTTTAGTCCCCTTAAAAAATATTTAGGAAGCTCTGCATAGAACAGGTGTGCTCTTCTTCAAGTATGACGTGTTTACTCACTTCCCAGAAATATAACGTGTAAATGGAGATGAAATTCTTTACAGAAGGGTGCTGTATGAATATAAAGTGGTCATTAAGAGCCTCTTTGTCCCACCATTAGAGTCCTTTTGATTTCTCCATCCCAAAATTCATTCTTCTGTCCAGGTTGCTACAAATCCTAGTCAGAACACATTGTCTGCTCAGTGGGAACTGTTTCTGAGAATGATGCCTTTTCTTACAAATGTTACAAAATAAAAATTTCCTTTATTCTGGTAGCAATTGAATAATTTTATTCAAAAACTAAAGTGAACGGATTTGTATCTATACAACTTTATTGTTACTTTTAAACTTTATTGTGAGGAAGACTGGTCTGTAGAACTGGAAACATTCTTCCTCAATATAAGGTACATAATATGAATTACACACTCTGTATTTTCATCTTTTTTCCTAACTTCACAGTGTATATAAACTTTGATACAGAGATAGTGCATGTAAATTTAGATTTATATAACAAAAGATACATTTACAAATAAAACATGAAAAGAAGAAAGGAGTAACTAATTACTTTTTTTTGCTTTTTCTTTTTTCTTTTAGTGGTTCATAAGCTTTAGGTAGCTATTGTTTTGAAGATGATTATAGGATCTTGAATAATCGAAAATATAAAGTGTTATCTTTGTAAATAATGTCATGTATGAATCTGTGTGCTTTAAAAAGATACAATAAAGAAAATATTTTAAATGGGTATCTTACTGTGATAAAAATCAGGAAAATTGATCTTTTATTTTGCACAGTTGGATAGTTTGCATTCCAAATTGCCCTTTTAGAGAAGAAAAGAGTAACATGAAACCAATTAAAACATACATGTATATTTTAATCTGTTATTTCATGATATAAGACATATGCCATTTACACTGAACCCCAGAATACTTATTTAGTAACTAGGCACAGGAGTACAGTGTGAGATGTTTACCTTTAGTGTCTCTCAGGGTTTGGGAACCATATTTCAGTGATAAACAGATTGCACCAAGATACTTTCAAAGAGTGTTTATTTTTCAGGTCACAAATACTATATTTTGTCACATCACTAATCAAATTTATTAAAGACATAAATACATCCCAATTCCATTTCAATTTACTCTTTTCATGTTTATGTAAAGAGCTAGTTATCCATTAAAACAAAACCCAAATATCATTTCCAGTTAAAAGCAGAGGCATGAAAAGGATTCTAACATCTAACAAACAATATGTTAAGGCATGGCCACATGCTGAGAATTGCCACCACCAATTAAATAATTGTATAATTAAGCAGATAATAAAAATTTAACTCATATTGGCTAGTCAAAGACAAGGCAATTTTTTCTCTTCTTTCTTTCTGTCTGTCTGTCTTTCTTTCTTCCTTTCCTTCTTTCTTTTTAACTAAGCTTCTATTTAAGAGCATTTGTTTTTAAAACACTGGTCACATGGTAGTAACAGTTTAAACAAAATGAAGATGTGGCATTTTCTATTTTTTTTAAAGGTGGCTTCAATTTTTAAATTCCTAAATTGATAGTATAACAAAGTTGAGTTATTCTTTTCTGGACAAAATGAGGTCCATTTGCATAGTTGAACTAAGTCTAATAAAGGTGGCAATATATGTCCATATATACATATAAGTATATATATATATACTTATATATATATATAAATTTTTAAAATTTATTTTCAAATTAATGCTATGTGTGTGTGTGTCTGTGTGGATTTGTGCTAAAGAATGCAGGTGCCCCCCAAGGCCAGAAGAGGGCATCATATTCCCAGGAGCTGTTTCTGGAAAATAAATACACCTTTAAGTGCAGGAAGCATTCTTAATAATTGTATGGTTTCTCCAGTTCCTTATACAGATATTTGAAAATATATCACTTTAAACACTCAACGCCCTTGGTCCTTTTGGAAACAATCTTATTTGGAACAGTAAAATTTGTTAGTAAGATTTGCTTATAGAATAAAAGTATCAATAAACACTTCATCTGGTCATTTTCAATATTTACTTTTACAGTATATAAACAATGCTTATATACTTAAAGCATTGAAAATGCTTACTATAAAGTTACTCATACTTGCTTATCACATAATCTGCTTTTTATAGACCATTTCAAAATCATTCAAGGTGAGGTGGCAAAGTTGACATGATTTGACATTTCTCCCTTGATCTACTGCTTTTCTGCCAAGTCTGTGGGGGAAATAAAGGTCTCACAACTGTTATATACTATGCTCATTCTTTCGTTATTTTCATTATTTTTTTCTAGCAACAATTCAAATACTGGTGGCAGCCAGAGAAAATACATCTAATGAGAACCTGCCATAGCACACCAGACCGCATGCACCCCATCTTCATTAGAGATTGCTTGTTGGAAACCTTTTTTGTTGATATTCTGTGACCAGAATGCATTTTCCCTTGGCTAATACCCCACACGGAGCACCAGCTGGGCATCAGCACCTGAGTGGCATAGGCAGTGTTCCCTGAGGAGCCACAAGACAGGAATGGACAACATAAAATTAATTCTAGCAGAGTATTTTCTTTTCAAAGTATCTTCAATGTGGTGACCAGATAGAAAATTACCTTAAAGAAGTCACTGCCCTAAAACTATAAATACCAGAGTGGTGGGACAGTTCAGATTTTCTTTAAGAGTAGTTTCCTGCTGTATTGGATTTGGAGAAGTATTTCCATAAAATGAATATTCTAAAATCCAGAAGCCATGGCTATGCTCTCTCCTCAGGCAGGTGAAGTCCAACACCAGCTTCCAGAATTTTCACAGAGTGTTAAGGTCAACCCTAAGGACAGGTGGAATTCAGCATTATAACAAAAAAAAAATAATTCAAAACATACATAAATATTCTTGTGAAGTTCCCTTTGATATGTTGAAGTCGTCAGAATGCCAAGTTACATATTGTTTACATGTGGATGTTACTTTTAAAGTGTCATTACCTAAGTAATATTCTAGGTGAAAAAAACAAAAACAAAAACAAAAACAAAAAACCCACCACCAGAAACAACAAACAAAACCTTTTGAATCCACAAATGATTTTCCACTTCATATTAAAATCTTATTCATGAACAAATTAAATGAATTATTTTTGGAACCAGAAGTCATGGGCATGATAAATATAAGCAGCTAATATCAGATTGAAAAGTTTTACTGCACTGTAAACAATCGATCAATAAGAAAAACTAGAGGGTACTTTTAATTAACTCAGAGAAACATTCAGCATGGTCTGGATGTAAACACCCTATTACACTTGGGGACAGAAAACAATATTTAATGTTGGGGGAGTGTAAATCTGAAAATTGCGAGGAGAAAGCCAAAATCCACAGTAGTCCAACTAAAGCAAGCTTTATTAAATACTGGCCAGTTCCATACCTGAGATTGTCAGAGCATGGCGCTGAATTAGGTCAGTCAGGGCCCAAAAGCACTGAACTTCCAACCTCTGTCCCATGGGGGAAGCATACATCCGGACGAACTTCCTTGTTCCCTACCTTCTACCATGTGTGACCAAGCACAGCCTGTGAGGTTGGAGCTACCAACCTGTTTACTGAAGTGAAAACTCATGACTTGTTATCTTACATGAACAACAGCCCCCAGCATTCCAAGAAGTTATCCATCCTTGCGCAAGCAGGGCTTATAGGTTAACTTTAGCGTGTTCAGGAGGTATACAAATACTTTTTGTTATCATAAATAGTCTATATGTTATATACCTTGGACCTATATAACAAGTAATAGGGAAAATGCTATTCCAGGAAGTTAAATTACACATAGTAATATTTTTAAATATAAATGAAGAAAAAAATTGAGGAAAAACAAATGAAGGGTTGCAGATAGTGGTTCTGTGCCTGGCATTGTTGCTGTCCAGAGATCTTGATCAAGTGTATTTTCTATGTCAGTTAAAAAATTACAATTTGAGAAGAATCAGGAGTGCAGCAGGTATCAGCAGGAAAGATATCTCAGAAAGAATAACCAGGTGAAGAAACGTTTTTGTTAGGGGTGAGGAAGCAGGCACCCTGAGAGAAAGACCTTCAGTAGAGCAAAAGGAAGCCCAGGTCCCTTCTCTCCTTGAGCACCGTTCTTTTGAAGTCTTCATCCCCTTATTTAGGACGAATCAGTGTGAAAAATAGAGAGAGTGATGGAGTCACAGCTTTGAGGCAAACACATCCTGGTCAGGCATTGAACCCAGAAGACTGGCTCACTAGCAGGGAGCCCTATTGGAGAGAGGGAAAGGATGCCTAGCCTGGTTTTAAGCTGTACTAGAAGAGGTGAAGAAGGTCATCTTTATTATGTATCTCAGGCTCCTGTCCCAATCTGTCTGCTCTCAGGGATCTAACTCAGAGTCCCTTAGTATAATTAGACAATGTGGGGGACTGTTAGCCATGCATACTTGTAGCAGATCCATGGTGTTAAAATTTTGTGGGTAACAGATTCCATACATTTACATTTTTGTATATTTTTAAATCTTTTTTTAGAAATATTTCTGAACCATAGGAAGGAAAACAGGGAAAGACAGACAAGGTCCCAAACAAGGGGGGAAATGGGCATTTCACACTACTCCAAATTCATATCTTCCATTTAAAGAAAAAAAGGCCTCATTTAATAACAAATTATCTATTCTGTAAGAAAGAAAAAAACAATGTGTCCAGGAAAGAGAAAAAAAGAAAAAAACAGAAAAAGATAAATGCCTATTTTAATGTTACTTTTACCTAACACCACAGGATTCCCAGAGCTTGGGATGCAACAAAATTCATCCTTGGAGGTGCTTCACTGAACAAGCAGATTCATTGGCTGGTCTGAAAACTAGCCTTTCTATTCCTCACTTCATTCCAGCAACCTGAGTGCATGTCAGCTTTAGAAATGACATAAGCTTTGACGCCCTTGTTTCAGTATAAAAGAAAGGATTCTATTTTTTAGATCTACTGCAGTAGCTACATTTACCATTTTATTTATTTTTGTAATTTCTTTTATTTAGATTTTTTTAAATTCATTTTACATACCAACCACAAATCCCCCTCTCTTCCCTCCTCCCGTTGCCCCCTTCCAGCCTTACTCCCTACCCACGCCCCATTCCCACCTCCTCCAAGGCAAGGTAAGGTCTCCCATGGGGAGTCAGCAGAGCCTGGTACATTCAGTTGAGACAGATTCAAGCCCCTCCCCCTGCATCAAGGCTGTGCAAAGTGTCCCACTATAGGTAGTGGGCTCCAGAAAGTCAAGCTTCCTAACACAATGGTTTTTAACTGATGTTAGCACTCTGAAAAAAAAAAAACAAAGTTTATAAATATTTTTGGTATGTATTGATATAGAAATATATTGTTATTTTCTGTTTGATAAAAATAATTTTGAACAATTAAAAATGTGTCATACTATAAAGTTCAATAAACTTTCTTGTGCCAAAGTGCTTTTGGCTGGTTAATAAAATGCCTAATACAGGGGCATTAAAATGTAAATCATTAAATATAAGATTCATAGTATATAAGTTTTAAAGATGCTATAGTAAAGGTTATGAAATATTTTAAAGATCTTTTATAGTGGAGATAAGAGTTAGATTGACCACAGGAGAATCCAAAGTTTACAAGAATATGGATTTCCATGGGTTGTATGTAATTAAGAGTTGAAAAAAATATCCAACTCCTGAAGCCACTTTGGACTGTGTCTGAATCAAACACCTGTCTACTTTGTTGGTTTTATTTTTATAGACTACAGACTAGCCAAGAGTGTGAAATGATCTCGTAATGATCACTCAGTTAATTAGCTTAACATTTCTACCATTTGGTGTTGTGAGTGACTTTTCAGATCACCCTTCTAATAAAGAGAATGTCCATGAACAGGAACCCTAAGTGGTTCCAATGGGCTCCTGCTCAAGAAACAATCTGCAGCTTCACTTGGAGAGCTAGCAGAGGGTCTTGGGTCTAGCTGGCAGTTGGTAAGCATTCCTGGTTGGAGAGAGTTTTCTTTTGGATAACTCATGTTTCCTTGTCAACAATCTCAATAAGAAAGTGAGAATAATTGCTTTAAAGTTAGGAAAGGGTTTTGAATTTTCAAATATTTTCCACCTTAATGTAACCACAAACAACTCTGTTTCCATTTTTAAGGGGTAGTGTGGGTAATAAGTGGAACGTTGTTATGCTTATTATGTATTTGCCTCCCCATATGTTCATAATATCACAATTTATTCCATCACAGAAAAAAAAACAGTAGCCAAAATAGACTTTCCCTATTTTGTTACACCTTGTCTCCATATAAAATAGACAGATGTTGATGACATGTTTTCATTGCTTCTTTTTTCTCTCTGTTCTGTCAGATCAGTATGCATTCTGTCGATATATGATTGACATGTTTGTCCATGGGGATTTGAAACCAGGTATTCCAAACAATTCTTATTGTTGTCTGCTCTAATAGCCTTTGTTTCTAAAATTGTCAGCTTTTTTCTGTACTAAACTACATTTTCATTTAAAAACTTGCACAATGCATGCGCAGACCTAGAATAAAGACAATCAAATGCAGAAATAATAACCGGTACTGGGGCCTTTAATTTTACTTTCATTGGCTGCTTGGCCTGTTGCAAATGAAGTCAGTGGAAAGCTCAAATATTAATATCTTCATATATAAAAATGCTAATATCTTTAATAATATCTTGGAGTGAAGCAATATGTCTCTTGATTTGATTCCTGGTAAATTTAGAAGAAAAGACTTACAACAAGGAAAAATATTAGAAAAAATGCTTTTTCTGATAGTGGACAAAAATTCATGGTAAAAATTCATCACTTCTCAAATACTAAGTCTTATCTTTTGAAAACCTCTAGTGATTTGGTGATTCCAAGTGCTGAACTTTGTAAACATCACTACCATGAATGAAGGCTTTTATTTACAGTGATTAAACCTTACCTCTTTTATATCTTTCATTTTTTATCCGAACTATGCTAAGGAAATCTTAATTAAGATGGATAACTTTATTCCTTGTACTATGCCTTATAAATATTTAAAACCTGACAAAATAAATATTCTGAATGAAAACTGACAGTTTCAAGCAAACTGTACCTGGTTACCTTCACAGTTTTGTGGAAGTCTTTCTAAAATGCTAATTATAACATGTGCATACATTGATAATCAAGGATATCATTCCAGAGCAAATATTTAATGTATTTATTTCCTATATGTTTAAAAGTTCACAAGAATCTAATCACTTTAGAACATTAATCCAGTCCCAGCAACTTCTCTCTCCCCTCAATCTCCTTCTCTTTTCTTTCTCCATGTTTATATGATTTTGAAAGCGTGGTGAAAAAAAATGAGCCTGGAAGTTATAATACCTTACTGATGAAACTAATCTCTGCCAGTATTTGGATATACTCACCTAACAAAATTTGGTGGACACATGAAGGAAGGTAGTGCGATCATTTGGGAAAAGAGAGTTTTGGACAAAAATACACTTAATTCTTTTCTAGCACAGGACTTTAAACCAGTTACTGAACACCTATTCTTCAATGTTCTTACATTTAAAATTAAATTTACAGTAATGACACCACATCATTTGCAAAGCACTCAATGGTGGGTGCCCAGAAAAATACTAGCCGCCTCAAATGTAACATTTTAAAATTATTTTATTATAACCTCTGCATGAGTACCTCCCAGAAAGGGACCACCTCAAGTCCTGATATACACATATAATAAACAAAATTTTCCTTAAAAAAAATCTTTTGCCAACATCATTCAGCCATGGTGGTTGGAGAAAGCCTTACTCTAGCTGGATGATGACACAGCCCTGTTATCCAGAACTCAGGGGGCTGAGGCAGGAGGATGGAGAGTTCTTAATGGCCCAAACTTCAGAGAAGACCCTGTTGAACAAACAAAAACAAATTAAAATAGAAAGGAAGAAAAATCATACTCTATATGCGCTTTGCTTTTTTGTAGACTCAACTGTGCTTAAGATGAGCTGTATTGTTGGTATGCATGGATAGATAAGTGACTAATATATATTGTTTCTTTGTTTTTTTTCCTGTTATTTTCTAAATTTCAGTATTTGATAAAAATAAACCATTCTTTTGCTACTTCATCTATTTATATCATCTGCTAATAGGTCACAGAATGTTTCCTAAGAAAGTCACATGACAAAGTGAACTATGCATTGCCAAAAGCAGTAGGGGATGCTAACATTTAAGCTGTCAAAAATACTAATCAACTCTCTATGAAATCTGACAACTGTTGAAGGTCAGAAGGAACAATAACAGCATCTCTATGGGGTGAAAGTGGATTTTGCTAATGAATACACAGACAGGGTCCTTCATAATGCACATGTCATGCCACTCCAAAAAGCATAGATTTCCATCTACAGCAGCGTATGCTATTTTAACTCCGAGGAACCATTTCTGAGATCTGTAAGAGTAAATCTCTCACTTCTACACAGTAAGTTTTGCTCTGATTTATTCCATCCCTCTGCATTTATTGTTTTGAAAGCCTAATATGTGAAACAGTATTTTAGATTATTGTTTATTGTCCAGGCACTCAAACAGAAGAAGGAGGACGAGGGGAGTAATGGTTCACAAACTGGTTTTTCATAAGTGATGCAAGAGGGTATTGCACTGTCCTATCCTTGTCAATGGGGCAGTGCCAAAAAAATATGATAGAATGCAGAATATAATGAGCAATTTTAAACATAAGCAAAGAACAAAAAGATTTACAATGATTTATGTGGGCACAAGAATTTGAGAAAAGGCCAACGATGTGATAGTGACTCTGGGTGACAATTAGAGAGTGAAATGATTCCTGCCAAGCTTATCTCTCAGTATGTGTCTAGTAGTTACAAAACACTCTGTTGCTTCCATCTGCTTCTGTTTAGGATCCTGGAACACCTGTTATTGTTTAGCTGGAGTTTGGAATTAATTATTGGTAATGAGTTTTTAAAACTATCATTTGAATTTTCCCCCTGGAATTCAGTAATCCCTTGTAGACTGCTGTCTTACTCTCAAAAGCACCCCTTTGTAGTTCAAAGGAAAAAGGAACTTTATTCTGACAACGTTAACGGTAGATACCAAGTTTTGCCTTTATATCCCATCAAAAAAGAAAAGAGACTTCTGAAGTATCTTTAAAAGTTTAAATTGGCATGTCTTGAATATAACTGAACACAAAGTACAAGTGCCTCATTTCTCTGTAATGAACAGTGAACATGTAGTTCTATATGATATTGAGAATCCCGACCTCAGTCACAGAGACCAGAAGAAAATGAATGAGTAAAATGTATAGACGGGACCAGTTTTGTGTATGTGATTAGCATTCCCATATACTGATTCACTTTATGTGAAATTTGAGACATAAGAAGGCAATGCTATATAAATCTAGAAAGGGAAAAATTTACTTTCTTTTTATTTAGAAAATATTGTGAATACTGTAGACAGTCCTTTGGGAAAAGTAAAGTATTATGTTGTTTCAGATTTCAGTAATCCAACAACCATGAAATCAGTTAATAAGTTAATATTATATGTTATCAGTGTTTCAGCATGTACCTTTTCAGTGTTTCTTGCTGGGAGAGAGAGAGGGGTGGAGGGAGGGAGGGAGGGAGGGAAGGAGAGAGAGAGGGGAAGAGGGAGAGAGGGAGGGAGAGAGGGAAAGAGAGAGAGACAGAGAGAGAGAGGGAGGGAGGGAGAGAGAGAGAGAGAGAGAGAGAGAGAGAGAGAGAGAGAGAGAGAGAGAGAGAGCGAGAGAGAGAGAGAGATCTGGTCCTCTGGTCCTGTGCAGTCTTGAAATTGATGGTCCACTTTCACCTAGGATTAAAATGATCCATTTGTCAATTTGTCACTGTCTTATGAGACAACTACTAAAACCAGACAACACGGACATTATTTGCAATCCCAAGATTCAATTTATTCTGGTTTATTTTGTATTTTGTTGTATTTAGAAATCTACTGTACAAATGGTTCAAGTCAAACTTTCAGTTGGTTTGTACTGACCTTGTGTGTGACTCCAATTTTGTATTCAGTGCCTTGTGGCCAACGACATTTTTTCCTTAAGTAACATTTATACCCCTAGCTTCATTATTTCGGTAACCTGAACAAAAGCATCAAGATTCTTGTCATACTCTCTGTTTGTGAACTTCAGCCTAGGTCTAATGAACTTATCTGGATTTCTTAGCAGAGTCATTGAGGCTGAAGAAGAGAAAATGTCTGTAAGTAGAAGATCTCAGGGCACACAGACATCTTGATATTCAGTGTAGATGAATTAACCAAAGCCTACATTTAGTACAGAGACCAGGGCTGATGTGTTTTGCATTGGTAACTGTAGCACACTTTCCCCTCCGTTCTTCACCTCTATAGTTATTATGGTTAAATTTTAATAATACTTGAAGTTTATTTCTCAGAAGTTATCCTACAATTACAATTCTAGACTTTCTTTAGACCTCTAGCTCCTAAATGACAACACGGAGACTTCTTATTAATTATGGAAGCTCTACCTTCGCTTAGATTTGTTCCCAACTAGCTCTTGTAACTTAAATTAACCAGTTTATATTCACCTACATTCTGACACATGACTTGTTACTGTATGTCTGACTTCTTCCACGTCTTGCTGGTGAATCCCCTGCCTCTCAGATTCATCCCTCTAGTTCCTCCCTCCCTGGAAGTCCCGCCAATCCTCTCCTGCCTTGCTCTTGACCATTCAGCTCTTTACTAACCCAATCAGTAAGTGCCTTAGGCAGAACGAGGTAAAACAGAAACAACAGAAACAAAACAGTGTACAAAAAGATTATTCCACAACAATATGACTTTTACTTAATAACTTGTGTCAAGGTAATTTATTTCACTTTTTATGTCATTTCTTTCCCTAAAATTGAGGGCAAATATTTACCTTACTAAATTCTATTTGGCTGCAATAAATTATTCTTCTATAGCCTGTATTCCATCTCAGTGGGCTTTAAAATCTGAGCTAGAAAGGGCCTTGAGGAACAAGTTAATCCTCTCATTTTATTATGGTCCTTTGCTTGGACTTTAAGGATTTTTAATCTAATTTTCCATTGAAAATACAGTTACTTTTATACAATATATTCTGACCCTGGTTTCCCCTTCCTCATCTCCACCTAGCTCCTCCCTACCTCCCATCCTTCCAACTCCACACCTTTCTCTCTCTTAAAAAATCAAACAAGCAAAACAGAAGACAGAAACAAAAAGCAAACCAACAAAAAAGAAACTAAGAAGAAGCATAAGAAACACATGCATACATAAACACACACATGCACACAAACATACATGCATATACCCTAAAAACCCATAAAATCTAACAAGGTTAAAAAAAACAAACAAGCAATATAAGACAAAATTATCCAAAGATATCTACGAGTTTATTTTGGTTGGCCATTTATTGCTGGGCAAGGGACCT